AACCCTTTCTCTACTAAAAAATAGAAAAAACCAGCCGGGTGAGGTGGCGGGCGCCTGTAGTCCCAGCTACTCAGGAGGCTGAGGCAGGAGAATGGCGTAAACCTGGGAGGCGGAGCTTGCAGTGAGCTGAGATCCAGCCACTGCACTCCTGCCTGGGCGATAGAGCGAGACTCCGTCTCGGAAAATAAAAAAAAAAAAAAAGAAAATATTAACAACAAAAAAATCTACTATTACTACTAATAAAATAAAACCTAAAGGCTGGGCACGGTGGCTTACACCTGTAATCCCAGCACTTTGGGACGTTGAGGCGGGCAGATCACCTGAGGTCAGGAGTTTGACAGCAGCCTGGCCAACATAGCAAAACCCGTCTCTACTAAAAACACAAAAATTATCCGGGCACGGTGGCATGCACCTGTCTTCCCAGCTGCTCGGGAGGCTGAGGCAGAATAGCTTGAACCTGGGAGGTGGAGGTTGCAGTAAGCCGAGATCATGCCACTGCCCTCCAGCCTGGGTGACAGAGCAAGGTTCCGTCTCAAACAAACAAACAAACACAAAAAAACCACCTATGTCAAGCTTCCTTTACTATTTCTGAAAGACAGCACCGAGCTTTGCTTCCTTTAGCCCATGAGTGTGCTCTCTGCCTGGATCACCTTTGCCTACCCCTTCACCTACCTCCTTATGTTTTAGATGTTCCCTCCTCCAGGAGGCCCTAGTTTAAACATTTTCTAGTTAAAAATACAAAAGAGTGAACAGTGGCAAAATAGGTCTTCCCTCCCTTGTCTCACAGCCATCCTTCCTAGGAGGTTAACAGTCATTTGCAATTCTTGGGTACTTTTCCACCTTTCCAGACATTGTTCTATAGAAATGTAAATACAGATGGCTGTGTTCATGTCCACATATTCCCCCACCCAAATGGTCAGGTGCCTGCTCTAGTTCTTTTTTTTTTTTTTTTTTTTGAGACACTGTGTCACCCAGGGTGGAGTGCAGCAGCACGATCTTGGCTCACTGCAACCTCCACCTCCCGGGTTCAAGTGATCCTCCTGCCTCAGTCTCCCAAGTAGCTGGGACTATAGGTGTGTGCCACCGTGCCCGGCTAAGTTTTTGTATTTTTAGTAGAAATGGGGTTTCGCCATGTTGGCCAGGCTGGTCTCGAACTCCTGACCTCAGGTGATCCACCCACCGTAATCTCTCAAAGTGCTGGGATTAGAGGTGTGAGTCACTGTGTCCGGCTGCTGTGGCTCTTCTAACCCAACCCTGACCACTCCAGTCTATCACTGTCTGCCTCCTCACTGGACTGTGACAACTTCGTGAAGACAGGGCCCAGGCCTGTCTCAGTCACACAGTGTCCCAGCACGGTCCAGCACCCTGCCATGCTGGGCCAGAGCAGGCACTTGGTGTTTGTGGATGCACCCGCAGACCATCTCCCCCGGAATTCATGCACTTTGACTCTGGCCCCTTCCCACACAGGCCCTGGCCCCAGTGCTGGAAGGATACATGTGCCTGGTCGATCATGCACTTGCATAGGGTGAAATCTGTGTGCGGCAGGTTGGTGAGGGCCTTCAGCAGGATCTGGGCGGTGACCGTGGTCTGAAAGAAGGCTGGGTTGAACTGGTACCTAAGAAAGAGAACAAGAGACATGGCCACATGTGGCACCTCCAAGTCCCCAACCCTCTCCAGGTGCCAGGCAGGCTGTCCACTGCTTTATTCTGGAGTTTGGGAATTGGACACGCCTGGGTTCCAATCCCAATCCCAATGCTTCCCGGCTGTATAACCTTCACCTCCCTGAGCCTACTTTCCTCCTCTGTGAACAGAGACAGTTAATGCTCACAACCACCCAGTGGGGCAGACACTGCTAAGTGATTCACAAACAAATGAGAACAGCAGCAGCGGTCTGGAGTAGTGGCTAAGGAACCAGAGCCAGACTGCCTTGGTTTAAACTTCCCGCTGAGTGACCCTGGACTGCTTATTTATGACATGAGGAGCAGACAAGAGAGAGATTAAGAGGCACTGAAAGGCTAAAGAGTAGAGAAAGGAAACTGAGGGGCTGTCAGTTTCCTCCCTTGCAAAAGAGGACAACAGAAGGTGGGGGTTGGGGGTGGGTGGGTGGCTCAAGCCTGTAATCCCAGTACTTTGGGAGGCCGAGATGAGCAGATCACCTGAGGTCAGGAGTTCAAGACTAGCCTGGCCAACATGGCAAAGCCCCGTCTCTACTAAAAATACAAAAATTAGCTGGGCATAGTGGCGCATACCTCTAGTCACAGCTACTTAGGAGGCTGAGGCAGGAGGATTGCATGAACATGGGAGACAAAGGATGCAGTGAGCTGAGATCATGAGATCACATCAAGGCACTCCAGCCTGGGCAACTAGGTGAGATTCTGTCTCAAAAAAGAAAAGAAAAGAAAAGAAAAGAAAAAGGAAAAAAAGAAAGCAAGCAAGAAAGCACCCAAGTAAAATTAACTGGGCACGGTGGTGCCTGTAGTCCCAGCTATTCAGGAGGCTGAGGCGGGAGGATAGCTTGAGTCCAGAAGGCTGAGGCTGCAGTGAGCCATGACTGTGCCACTGTACTACAGCCTGGGCAACAGAAGATCCTGTCTCAAAAAAAAAAAAAAAAAAAAAAAAAAGTGGAGGTAGGAAGAACCCATACGTCCATCAAGAGCCAGAAGAGATCATTAGGACAGTCACACAAGTGACACACTGAAGAGGTATACATCCATGAAAACAAACTGGAGCCACATCAAACAAACAAACAAACACACAAAACTGGATGGATCTCACAAACCCAGTGATGAGTAGCAAATGGCAGATGCAGAAGAGTTTGTGCTGTATCTACTCCATCTATATCAAGTTCAAAGCAGGGAAACCTGAGCTGAGCTGATTCAGATGGATGCATGTATGGTAAACCATCACATAAAGCCAGGCCATGAGAATAGGGGGGAGCAGGGGAGTTGGCTGGCACAGAGCATATGGGGCAAAAGGCCTGTGGCGCTAGCAACACTTTTGCAACATAAATGGCGATTATGTAGGCTTTCATTTATAATGATTTGTTAAACTACATGTTTGCTTAATGTATTTGCCTGTACATGTGTTCTGTAATTATTCTTTATTTTTGAGACAGGGTCTCACTCTGTTGCCCAGGCTGGAGTACAGTGGCATGATCTTGGCTCACTGCAACCTCTGCCTCCCAGGTTCAAGCAATTCTCCTGCCTCAACCTCCCGAGTAGCTGGGACTACAGCTGTGTGCCACTGTGCCCAGCTAATTTTCTGTAGAGACAGGGCTGTGCCATGTCACCCAGATTGGTAATTCTTATTTATTTTATTTATTTATTTTTTTGAGAAAACGAAGGGTCTCACTCTGTCCCCCAGGCTGGAGTGCAGTGGCACGATCATGGCTCACTGCACCCTCGATCCCCCAGGCTTAAGCAATCCTCCCACCTCAGCCTCTCAAGTAGCTGGAACTACAGCCACACACCACTACATTAACTAAAACAATGGGTTTTTTTTTTGAGACGGAGTCTCACTGTGTAGCTCAGGCTGGAATGCAGGGGTGTGATCTCGGCTCACTGCAACCCTTCTGGGTTCATGCCATTCTCCTGCCTCAGCATCCCAAGTAGCTGGGACTACAGGCGCCCCGCCACCACGCCTGGCTAATCTTTTGTATTTTTTTTTTCCGTAGACATGGGGTTTCACTGTGCTAGCCAGGATGGTCTTGATCTCCTACCCTCGTGATTCATCCACCTCGGCCTCCCAAAGTACAGGCGTGAGCCACCGCGCCTGGCCAATTTTTAAATTTTTGTATAGAGTTGGGTCTTGCTATGTTGCCATGGCTGGTCTCGAACTCTTTGGTTCAAGTGAGTATCTCGCCTCAGCCTCCCAAAGTGCTGGGATTACAGGCATGAGCCCCTGCAGCCACCCTCATTGACTTTTTATTATTAATTTATTTTTGAGATGGAGTTTCGCTCTTGTTGCCCAGGCTGGAGTGCAATGGTGCCACCTTGGCTCACTGCAATCTCCGCATCCTGGGTTTAAGCGATTCTCCTGCCTCAGCCTCCCAAGTAGTTGGGATTACAGGCATGTGCCACCACGGCCGGCTAATTTTGTATTTTTTAGCAGAGATGGGGTTTCTCTATGTTGGCCAGGCTGGTCTCAAACTCCCTACCTCTGGTGATCCACTCACCTCATCCTCCCAAAGTGCTGGGATTACAGGTGTGAGTGACTGCGCCTGGCAATTGATTTTTCAGAAACCATCCCTCCTCCTGTCCCAACTTCCTTGGCTTCCTAGTCTTGCACACCAAGAGATGTTGCATCATGCAGGATACCACCAGCCACCCCCTTGCCCTGTACTGGGAGTGGCACCCTGCTAGCTGCTGAAATGGGAGTGCAGACAGACAGCCATACACTTACAGCTTCAGGACAGCCAGGTTGGCTTCCAGATCATAGGCATTTTCCTTGGCCTGCGTCTCCACATAGCGCTCCAGGGTGGCCAGGTTCTCAGGATTGTACCTAAAGGAGAATCAAGATAGGTGAGCAGACAGGAGACAGAAGCTGAGGCCAGTCACTTTACAGTCGCAGGGGCAACTGTAACCTGCCCCTCCCACCCTTCCCCTCTAAATCTGGCACTGGTCACTTGATCTATCCAGGTAGTGAATTATGTCCAGTATAATCTCTAATAAAACTTTTTCATATCCCAGACTTCTCACCTAAGCTCTATACTCCATTGGAGCCCTGGGTCTTGCCTAGGATACCTCCCCAACCTCTAAGCCAGTCAGTCACTGCGGCTTGTGCATCTGGCCTCCTGAACATCTCTGTTACTCACCCCTTCCTCCCCTGCTCAGGCCTCCACCCTGATCCAGCCCCATCCTCTCCTACCTACCTGGATGCCTACTTCCCCCATGTCCGTCTGAACACTCTAGCCTTTGCTTCCCCCATTTCGGTTCTAACCTCTCCCGGATATCACTGTCTGATGTCAGGTTTGTCTCCCTCATGGAATGGGAACTCAGACCGTGAAGGCATGATCTGCCGCTGTCTGATTCGCCTGTGGTTCCCAGCATTGCCTAGCACTGACACTTTATTTCAATAAACATGTGAATGAATGACGTAAGGAGCAGAGAAGGGAGAGACTCAGAGGCACTCAAAGGAGGCAGGGCAGAGAAGGAAACCTTAAGGCAATTCACGAAGAGACTGCGCGGTACCAAGATTCTTTCGCTTCTAGGCCTTTGCAGGGCTGTTTCTTTCTTTCTTTCTTTTAGAGACGGGGTATGACTGTTGCTCAGGCTGGTCTCTAACTCTTGGGCTCAGGCGACCCGCCTGCCTCGGCCTCCCAAAGTGCTGAGATCACAGGCGTGAGTCACCGCCCCCAGCTCAGTGGCGTTTCTTTAAGCATCTCCTCCTCCAGGAGGATAGAGAAACCCCACCCCGCGGCAAGCCCAGGACCCTGACCACCCCCTGCTGCCTCCTGAAAACCCTCCCCTCCGCCCCGCATGGCCAGAGCGCTCCCTCCGACCGGGCTCAGACCTGTCGATACCCTTGAGCAACTTGCCCACGTTAGCTCTCATCTGTTCAAACATCGCCATGACTTCTGTCGCTTTCCACAACCAGGGCCGGAGACTAACACCGACCCGGCACGGCGTCCGCGAGGACGGGAAAAGGAAGAGGTGGTGGAAACGGAAACGACGTCATTGTTGTCGCTCCAGCTCCCTGGGGGCGGTGAAGGGACAGGCTCTCGCAGCAGCCGCCACGCTTTCCGGCTGCCACGTGACTTCTTCCTCGCAGGGGCAATTAGCGCGTGCGCATTCGCTTCACTCAAGCTGGATGGACAGCGTGAGAAAAAGCTTACTGTATCCCAATGCGCAGGCGCCTCTCTTGGCGAGGGGCGGGGCTAAGCTTTTCCCGGGCCTCACAGACCCAGTTCCAGTGCCGGGGGCGCGGGAGCGTGCGCGCGCGAACTCATTGGGAAGCAGTCGGAGCTCTGGCGGCGTGCGCGGGCGTTGTATTGCACGCGGCCATAAGTCCCCGGAGCTGTGCGGGAATGCACGCAGCAGCCCTCCGTTTAGGCATTGGCCAAGTCCCGAGGGAGATGTTCTCTGAGGTCCCTCTCGCCTCAGGCCTGGGCGCATGGTGCAGGATTCTGAGCGCCCAGGATCCAGTTTCAAGTCTAGGCCCTTGGTCCCCAGCTCCAGGAAGAGGGTCCCACAAAGCTATTGTGCTCTGCCGGGCAGGGGCTGGGGTGAGGGCTCCTGGACTTCACCGGATCGCGCCCGGTCTCCATTAGGTTCTGGTCTTGGAGCTGAGGGCGAGGGTCCCATCTGTACTGCCATCAATTATGTATCATGTATAGGTTTTGTACACTGCAAGCGTAGAAAATGCAGTTATGTGCCATGTATGTGGAGGTATATGCGCTGGGTACCTCCACGTGTGTACTGTGCACACAGGTATCTAGGTAGATGCACATCTACACGTCTACATGCCCGCGCAGTGCAGAGGAGGTAACCCAAGTGCATGTATGTGACAGGTGAACAGGCATGTACACTGCGTAGTCATCCCTGTGCAGACTTGCCGCCTTCGGGTTGTGGCCAAACCTTCAAGCACCCAGTAGAGGTTTAGACACTACCTAGGAGACGGGGGCGGGGGTTCTAAGGCACCCCCCTCCAATCCAGTTACCATTAAGATCATTTGCATCACATTTACATCCAGCCCTGGGCCTTGGAGGTTGAGGATGGTCCCTTGGGTCCCAAGACAAGCTGCCCCTCAGAGGCTCTCAGCGCCCAGGGGACAGGGGGTGGAGCCCTTTGCACAGCCGTGCAGTGCAGCTGGGGCAGGAAGCGAGAGTGGGGAGGAGGGAGGCCACAGCCCGCGGAGGCAAGGCGGGTGCAGGGCTTCTGGGGACAGAGGGAGGTGCCAGAACTTGAGCCCTGAGGCCCTGCTGGCCCCTGGGCGCAGGCCCAGCTCCGGCCCCCAGGGATGGACCTCGTGGATCCGGACATTTTCAATAGAGACCCCCGGGACCACTACGACCTGCTGCAGAGACTGGGTGGCGGCACATATGGGGAAGTCTTTAAGGTGAGAAAGCCCCTCTGTCCCCAACACCCTCAAACTAGTGGCCTTTAAGGCAAGGCCTCGGTAGGGAGGAGGCTGCAAGAGGGGGTCCCAGTCCTTGACCTTGACTCAGGGATGCTGAGGGGGGACTCTGGCAAATGGAGCCTGCCTGACTGCCGACTTCCCCTTTGCAAGGCTCGAGACAAGGCGACAGGGGACCTGGTGGCACTGAAGATGGTGAAGATGGAGCCTGGTGAGGAGGGAACCCGGAGCTCCTTCCCCACATCCCCACCTTCGCCTCCTGGGACACTGGGATCACCTCCCTCCTAGCTCTCTCCATGCAAGCTGCCTTTCTCTCCCACCCTCCTCACAGATGATGATGTCTCCACCCTTCAGAAGGAAATCCTCATATTGAAAACTTGCCGGCACGCCAACATCGTGGCCTACCATGGGAGTTATCTCTGGTGATGAACCTCAGACCCACTCTGGCACCCAGCCCAGCCCCTAACCCAGAGCCCCCATTTCTTGATGGGGGTACCCTCATTTCTTTTTTTATTTTATTTCTTTTTATTTCTTTTTTTTTGAGATGGAGTCTTGTTCTGTTGCCAGACTGGAGCGCAGTGGCATGATCTCGGCTCACTGCAACCTCTGCCTCCCGTGTTCAAGCAATTCTCTGCCTCAGACCCCCGAGTAGCTGGAATTACAGGCGTCCACCACCCCACCCAGCTAATTTTTATATTTTTAGTAGAGATGGGGTTTCACCATCTTGGCCAGGCTGGTCTTGAACTCCTGACCTTGTGATCCATTGGCCTTGGCCTCCCAAAGTGCTGGGATTACAGGTGTGAGCCACCGTGCCTGGCCTTGGCACCCTGAGTTCTAACCTTGAACTTCCATTTCTCACCATAACCCGACCTCCCATCCTGGACCCCCATTTTTGACTGGGCTAACCCTACCCTGATCCTCACTCCTAAGTCCCACTTTTCTGACCAGAGCAGCCTCTAATCTAATCTCCAATCCAGAATTCCCATTTCTGATCAAGAGTACCCCAAACTGATCCCTTCATAGTAACTGAATTTGAAATCAACTCCCTAGAAACGAAGCTCTCATCATTCTGCCCTCTGGCTCCCCCAGTTCCACTCTCTGTTCCTTTAATATAAACTTCTAAATTCCCTGATCCCCAAATTAATATTCCAGATGTCCCAATACTGACCTCTGCTCCCCGGAACAGATACCCTGGGCCCCTCTGTCCCCTCCAAATCTCCACAACCCGTGAGATCTCTGCCCTACCTCCTAGGTTGGCGTGGGACGGCAGAGGGGTCCCGCCCAAAGGTCTAGGTTTGAGTTGACTTGCCCCGGAACTCACATTTCCTCTCTGAGCCTTAACTTCCTTGTCTGTGAAACGGGAATGAAACCACCTCACTCTGGTAGACAAGGAGAGATGGAGTGATGAGAGCTGTTACATTAAAGTTCTTACTGATCTAGAACAAGACAGAAGCAAACCAGGGACTTTCCTGCAAATAATAATGTATTACTGCTATTATTATTCTTACTCTTGAAACACTGCAGGTTGCAGAAACTCTGGATCTGCATGGAATTCTGTGGGGCTGGTTCTCTCCAGGACATCTACCAAGGTTAGAGAAAGCACAAGGGGACCCAGGCAACCCTCCCACCCCCACCCCCCAACCCCGACCCGAATTCACCTCTTCCGTCTCTGTGTGTGTATCTCACAGGAACTGTCTTTCTGGGCCATATTTCAAACTCCTGGGCTGAGCTGATCCTCTTGCCTTCAGTTGCTGAAGTGCTGAGATTACAGGCTTGAGCCACCGTACCTGGCTTTTTAAAATTTAATTTAATTTAATTTTATTTTATTTTATTATTTTAAAAAATATAACTGCTGGGCCTGGTGCGGTGGCTCATGCCTGTAATCCCAGCACTTTGGGAGGCTGAGGTAGGTGGATCACCTGAGGTCAGGAGTTCAAGACCAGCTTGGCCAACATGGTGAAACCCCGCCGCTACTGAAAATACAAAAAATTAGCCAGACGTGGTGGCAGATGCCTGTAATTCCAGCTACTTGGGAGGCTGAGGCAGGAGAATCACTTGAATCTGGAAGGCAGAAAACCTCTGATTCCTTCCAACCCTAGACCTCAAATGTTAGAAAAGGAAGGACTTCATTGAGAAGTCCTCAGGGAAACTGAGGTCCACAGAAAGGAAGTGAATCCCACAGCTGGTCTGTAAGACCTAATGTCTGACGGCCTCTCTCTGTCTCTCTGTCTTTCCGCCTGTGTGTTGTTCTTCCCTCGTCATCCTCTGGGTCTCTCTCTAAATCTGTCTCCCCACATTTTGGCCTCTGACCTCTGTCTTTGTCTCATTTTTTTTGGTTTTTTCAATCCTGTTCCTTCCGTATGTCTCATGTGTGATCTGCCCCCGTTTCTCTGTCTCTCTCTGTCTCTCTCTGTCTCTGTGTCTCTGTGCCTTTCCTTATTTTGCAAAGTTATATCACGCCCCTGTCAGAGCCCTCCTACAGCTTCCATTTCTCTCGGAGGAGAAGCCCAGACTCCTCATCAGGGTCCACTCCAGGCTGGCCGACCTCACCTCCTCCCACTTTCCTCCTCCCCCTCCACTCCACCCCACCGCCTTTGCTGCTTTCCAGACCCACCAGGAACTGTCCCACCTGGGACCCTGCACTTGCTGTGGCTGGTCCCACTCAGAGTGGGAGCCCTCACGTCTTCACCTGCTGTCACCTTCAGAGAGCAGCCCTGACTGACCACCTCTGTGAAATGTCATAGCCCCTCCTACGCGCCCCTTTCTTGCTGTATGTTTCTTCCTATTGTCTTTCAGCATCTGAGGAACTACATCATATTCTACTTATCTTGCTTACTTTCTTTCTTTATTTTTTCTTTTTCTTTCTTTCTTTTCTTTTTCTTTTTCTTTTTTTTTTTTTTTTTTTT